ACCCCACCCCACCCCACCCCCGGCCGGAAGCAGCTTCCACGCCCAGGCGCCCCTGGGTTTGGGTTAGAAGGGACTTGACCTGGGATTTTCGCAAGGGCACTCGGTGGCAAGCGAGCTGTTCGCCGGCCTCTCCAGCCCTCCACCAGCTTAGAGCAGCAGGTCGCCCACTGGCGCTCTCTAGGTGACGGACACCCCGGTGGCGGTCTCAGGCCAGCCCACGCCCACAGGTCCTTCCGGGGCTCGCCAAGAGGGCTCAGGCCTGGCTCTCACCCTTGTGGAGCTTATGTCCAGCTCCCCGGTGAGGCTCCAAGCCTGCCCGGCTACAGCCGGAGGCACCTCCAGCGAGCTAGCACCGCGCCGGTCAGGCAGGTGTCCCCCAGAACCATCCTCTGACCGCTCCGCAGGATCGGAGCTTCCTGGGGGCGGGCTGGCTCCCTCAGACTGCAGATCGTAACCCCACAACGAGAGCAGCAGCTGTCGATGGGGCACCTCCTACGTGCCAGGCGCTTGACGTCCGTCATCTCATTTAGTCCTCACACGCACACCCATGGGGCACGTATGGTTATCACCCCCTGTTACTGGGGCAGACGCGTGAGGCTCAGTGACATGGCAGAACCTTGCCCAGTTCTGGCAGAGATGGTTCATGGGAGCCCAGGCTCGGAACTCGGGAGAGCACTCGGCGTCTGGCCCTCCCCTCTTCCCACCTCCCCACCCCCTGCCCCCAGCGGGCTCCTGGCCAGCGCACCACTGCCCTGCTGGCCTAGCTTCAGGCAAGTCCTGGTGCCCCCACAGCAACCAGGATCTCCCGGCCTCACCCCCACCGTGACACCTCTTAGAGGCTCCGGGTGGGAGACTCACAGCCCGGTTCTCCTTCTGGGGGGACTGTCACTCTGAGAGAGCTGGGTGTCTGAGATGGCCCCAAGGCTGCTTTTCCAGCACTGCTGGGAGAGGAGGTGATGGAAGGGGTGAAGGGTGGGGTGCGGATAGCAAGGCCGGGACGTTCCGAGGCAGTGGGGCGCCCAGAGGACGGGCTCAGAGAGAAGGGCTGACCGGCAGGGAGGCAGGACGGGGAAGGCACGGGGGCTGGGAGGGCCCCGGCGGTCTGCGCTGGGGCGTCACCTCTGCTGTCCCCCTGTCGCCTCAGGCATCCTCGTTCACATGGACAACCTTCGCTGGGAGGGCGTCCCTTTCATCCTGATGTCTGGCAAAGCCTTGGATGAGAGAGTGGGCTATGTTCGGATCTTGTTCAAGAACCGGGCGTTTTGTGCCCAGAGCGAGAAGGACTGGGTCACGGCCCAGAGCCCGTGCCTGCCTCAGCAGATCATCTTCTACATCGGCCACGGCGAGCTGGGTACCCCTGCCGTGCTGGTCAGCCGGAGCCTGTTCAAGCCCACCCTGCCCTCCAGGAGCTGGAAGGAGGTGGAGGGCCGGCCAGGGCTCCGCCTCTTCGGCCGCCCTCTGTCCGATTACTATGCCTACAGCCCCGTGAGGGAGCGGGACGCCTACTCCATCCTCATATCGCACATCTTCCACGGCCGGAAGGACTCCTTCGTCACCACGGAGAACCTGCTGGCCTCCTGGGTCTTCTGGACCCCCTTGCTGGACAGCCTGGCCCGTGAGGTCCCCCGCCTCTACCCAGGAGGAGCTGAGAATGGACACCTGTTGGACTTTGAGTTCGCAGGCGGCCAGCTGGCCTTCTGCCAGCAGCAGGTGGAGCAGCTGGTGCTGGGGCCAGGTTCGGCTCCGATGCCCAGTGACTTCCAGGTTCTCAGGGCCACGTACCGAGAGAGCCCGCTGGTCGCGGCCTGGCCCGAGGAGCTGATCGCCAAGTTGGCCAGCGACATCGAAGCCACAGCGGTGCAGGCGGTGCGGCGCTTCGGCCAGTTCCACCTGGCCCTCTCGGGTGGCTCGAGCCCCATAGTCCTGTTCCAGCAGCTGGCCACGGGGCACTACGGCTTCCCCTGGGCCCACACGCACCTGTGGCTGGTGGACGAGCGCTGCGTCCCGCTCTGGGATCCCGAGTCCAACTTCCAGGGCCTGCAGACCCACCTGCTGCAGCACGTCAGGGTCCCCTACTACAACGTCCACCCCATGCCCGTGCACCTGCACCAGCGGCTCTGCGCCGAGCAGGACCGGGGCGCCCAGGCCTACGCTGAGCAGATCTCAGCCCTGGTGACCAACAGCAGCTTCGACTTGGTGCTGCTGGGAATGGGCCCCGACGGGCACACGGCCTCCCTCTTCCCGCAGTCACCCGCGGGCCTGGACGGCGAGCAGCTGGTGGTGCTGACCGAGAGCCCCTCCAAGCCGTACCATCGCATGAGCCTCAGCCTGCCCCTCATCAACCGTGCCAGGAAGGTGGTGGTCCTGGTCATGGGCAGGTTGAAGCGTGACATCACCATGCTGGTGAGCCGCGTAGGCCACGAGCCCAAGAAGTGGCCCATCTCGGGAGTCCTGCCCGGTTCTGGCCAGCTGGTTTGGTACATGGACTATGAGGCGTTTCTGGGCTGACGGTGCCTCTGTCCTCTGCTCGCTCCACTGCTGGCCCCCACCTGTCCTCGCCCCTCCCCTCTTGGTCCTGCCACCTGCCCGGCTGCCCTGGCTCTCTGCAATCTGATGCTCGGTCGGGCCCCTGGAGAGGCCCCGTCCCACTCCCTTTGACAGTCCCCGTCCAGTTGTGGTGGGCAGACGCAGAAACGGGGAAGAAATGGAGTCTCCGCCCGTGAACGCTTCACATCCAAGTCAGCAGAGAGACATCCACCTAAAGAAAAGACCCACGGCAGTTACACGTTCATATCAACCAGCACAAAACAAGGCAGCGTGAAAGCCCCCAGCCTGAGAAAGAGGAATGAAACGGCGTGAGTTAATCAGGGGAGAGATCCTGGAGGCGGTGGCCCTCGACCCGGTTCCCGTGGAGAGAAGGGAGCACCGGCATCCGCGCAGGTGCGGGGTCCGGGTGAAGCAGGGCGCCGGGGGCTGTCCAGGTGCTCGGGCCTCTGGAGCTCCCGCTTCTTGTCTCTGTCCTTTTCCTGAGCCTCTGATGTCAGCCTGCTGACTGTCCTCTGCATGGCCGCCTCCACCTGGTCTGTGCCTCTGGTTCTGTGCCTAGGTCCCTCCTGTGGAGGGTCCTCCCATTCCCTCTCGTTCTTGGCTGTCCCTCAGAGACAGTAACACAGCGGCAAATGCGAGGATGTCACAGGTACGGTTCCAGAAATCTTGCGACTGCCGTTTGGAGTGGATGACCTCGGCATAGGGAGGCACTGGTTCCCAGCCCCTCAGCGAGGACCTCTGCCCCCCCACTTCGCCAGCCAGCCCCTCCGTGAGACATAATCAGACTTTTCCAGCGACTCCCCGTTTCAGGGGATCCCTTATATTTCAGGGGACTTCCCGGTGGGTGTTTCCACTCTCAGCATCCCCTCTTGTTTTGCCGGGAGAGATCCAGTCAAATCTTTCTCTGATGGTGACAACTTATTTGGGGGGAACAGTATGATCGTCGCGCGATCTAGACCACCCGGATGCTCTGATCTGACCAGACCAAAGCCAGGCCTCCTTGGTGGTGGGGGGGGGGGCTCAGCTCACAGGCAGCAGGGGCTGCGCAGGACCTCCCCGGGGGCTCGGCAGATTCTCAGCACCCGGGGGCGGGGGGCAGACTGTGACCCGGCCGCCTGTCTCATACTACCTCTTGGCAGCACCCAGCCTGCCGGCTTCCTGTCTCCTGGTCCCTCCTGCCACCTCTCCCTTCGCCACTAATGCACTGCTGAAGACTTGAGGCGACAAATCAGTAGCTGCTCCTTAAGAATAGACTGGGTGTTCTGCTCTTGAGAAGCGTGAGCCAGCACTACCTGTTTTTCTGAAACCCCCAAGGTCGGGGTGTAGGGGTTGGTGCTCTGAAATGCTTTTAAAAAAATCAAAAATCTCAGGACAGATTTTTTTATTTCCATTTGCCACATAGCCATGCCCACCAGCTATGACTGTAAAGGGATAACATGGGTTTTTCTGCGTGACTGTGACTTCGTATGGGGCAGATACATTCTGTCAGGCAGATACAACGTGTCAGCGCCACACACAAGGCTTTCCTGACGAGGCGCTTCCCGAAATCTCTGTCTCTGCTCTCGCTCGTTCACACTTTCTTCAAGGCTATGGACCGAAAATAAAGGAAGTCTTTGCTTTCATTTGAAATGGCTGCCCGAGCCAGGGGCTCTCCATGTGAAAAGGCACTCTTGTGACAATTCTGCTTCCGCCAGCCTCCGACGACCCAGTCCAGACAGGACATCTCTCTTTATGCGGAGGGGGGGCCAACCCTGGCTTCCCTTTCTGGGGGTCCGCGTTTTAACTTGCTCTAGAGATGCTGGCGGCTGGTGCTCGTGAGTGGACACAGGTGGCTGCGGTTCAGATGCCACTTCTGGCCACGTGGGGGCGCTCTCGCACCATCCTGCGGGCTTGCGGGCCGACTGCCTTGGGACCCCACGGTGCTGCATTTGCATTTTGTATCCGCATCCCTGGGGCCTTGGCCTGAGCACCCCTCCAGCTGTTCTTTGGGAACTTCTTCCTCTGTGGTTGCAACATCAGATCGAAAGGGACCTCCACATGCCCGAGCCTCGTTCCAGGACAAGGGGTAAGCTGGCTCCTGATGTCACTCTTTCTGAATAATAGTGAGTCACTGCGGGCCTAAGCCTGGAATGTCCTGTTCTTAGAGGAGTGCCTCGCATCAAAACGCACCCCTTCCCTGTGGAGAGTGTGCACATGGGGGTAGGGTGGGGGCAAATAAAAATACCAAAGGCTTCCTTTCCAGAATCAAGTGCTGTCTTAAAGCCACACCGGAAAGTCCAGTGGGAGACGGCGTCCACAGTCCTGCTTCCGCCCACGCCCCTTCCCCTTTCCCCCCTGCCCTGTGCCAGGAAGGAGAGATTCTCAGAGGCCGGCCACCGAGGCTGGTGGTTTCCGAGTGTTCTGGACCGTGATCCACAGCAAGAAACACACTGCATCACGAGACATGCAGAGACCTGTCTCGGGCACAAGTGTCATAAAGGAATGTCTCCCCTGAGAACATGGGGTACCCTCTAGTTTCTATTTTTCATTTTCAAAAAAAACGTTGCTTTTAATCTGCGGAATCGAGTTGATACATAGTTTTTAAAAAATGCTGCTGTGATCCAGCTTTACCCCGTTCCATAAGCCAAGGACCCCGAGTCTGGAGAGGGAACACGGGTGCCCGGCTCCCACAGGGACACTGGTGAGCACGTTGGGACTGGAACCCCGGCTTCCCAGTCCTGCAGCCCTGCACTCACCCGCTCTCCCAGCACAGGGAGCCTGCCCAGGCCCAGCACAGTGCTGCTTCAGCCCCCCGGGTGGGATGCTCGGCCAGGCCTCCTCCATCACGGTGGGAGGGAGGGCAGCGGGTGCTGAAGAAGCTCTGATCAGAAGCCTGAGCTGTAGGAACAGTTCTGACGTCGGGGTTGATGAGTACCAGGCTAGACACTGCACGATTTACACGAGGTGGCCTTGATTCTCAGCAACACTGCAAGGCAGGTGGAGGGACCCTCTTACTGATGATTTTGAAACTGAAGTTGTCCACCGACCACAGACCAGGTGTGGAACCTGGGTCTTCAGGAGTCCAGAGGGGTGTCCCCAGCCCCCCCTGCGGTGCCACCTCCTTCCCAGAAGCCCCTGGGTGCTCAGTGCAGTGGGGGTTCCTCTCAGTCCTGTAAAAGGTAGGAGGGCCCCTCCTTCGGGAGGCTTTGTCAACTTAGCATTTCCAGAGCAAGCATTATTACCATCAGTTGTCGGGAAGGACTGGGGGACTTTCCAGGCTGTTGTAAGCTAGATTCCGATTTTGATCTGGAAGCATGTTTTCTGCTAACCACAAGTTAAAACAGTCTCGTCTCGTCGATCCCCCTGCTCCCTGCTCCTCGGCAGAGAGTGCTCTCTTCCCACCCTGGGGTCCCCGGTCAGCAGCGTGACCAGAGCTTTCTGCCAGTGGACTGATCCTTCAGAGCACTCCCTCGAGGGTCGTCATTCCAGAAAGCACGGGCTGGGAGCTCCCTCCTGCTTCGCCTCGCTTCCTCCTTTCCCAGGAGGAGAGCCCAGGAAGAGAGCCGGGGACAATGGGACAGAGAAAGGGAGGAGCTTCCGTAAAATCTTAAAGGACAGTTTTCTACAATTTAGTTTTCATAAAAAAAAATTTTTTTTTTTTAACAAAAATTCATGCAGCCTCACAGAAGCAGCCTCTGCCTCAGCCTTGCCCAGCTCATTTTCATCTCAAGCAGACAGGGCCTTGCAGACCTCAGCTCGCCAGCACAGAAGCTGCTTGGCAGTGGTCAGTGTCAGAAAATGAACGAGTCACGGCCAAGGCTGGAGGCGACATGGCGAGGTGGGCATGGTGGCAGGCCAACGCAATGGGCACCCGCCCGCCCCGCAAAGGACAGACTGCAGAGGGGGCGGGGGCTTTGAGAGGGCTGCTGTCTCCCAATGTCACCAGACCACGTGGCCCACAAGGGCCGCCGGCCTGGCTGTGTGAAGGGCGAGTGAGCCACAGTGCTCTCCTGCCCACGACCCCCTGCAGCTGCTCTGCTGGGCGCCGCAGACCTCAGGCCGCAGCCAGGCGGGTGGCACCAGAGGTGCTGCTGGCTTTGTTCAGGTGACGTTTCCATGAGGAACAGGGCACTTCTCCAACCTAATCAGCATTTGGCCGCCGATGAGAGCCTGAGAGCCAGGACAGCACTGGCGAAAGAGCAGCTCTGTCGGCCCGCCCGGCTCTCAGGGTCTCAGCCTGGTCGCTGGAGCTGAGTGCGAGTTCACCCTCACTGTCCTGCGGGCCGGCGAGTGCCCTCAGGTGCCGTCTGTGCCGTCTGCCGCCCATCTTCGTCGCTTGCTGGGAGAGTGGGAGTCGCGGGGGGGCGTGTTGTTTTCCTTGCTGTGTCTACCTATGGAGTCCCCACGTGAAGTGCAGAGCCCGCTTCCTGCCTGTTCTAGGTTAGAGCCCGCGTCCCGTGTCCATCAGCCTCCCCACACAGCACACAGCGCGTCTTCACCGGAGGAGCCGGGGGGTGGGGGGCAGGGGGAGCCCCTGTCGGCAGGTGACCCGGGAAGATGTGCAGATGTCTTCCGGAAACACCCAGGGACCCTTCTCCAGAGGCACCCGGCCTCGCCTCTGTTGGCAGTTGGAGCTGGGGCGGGAGCGAGGGTTCCTGCTCTCTAAGCTGAGCAAGGTCCCTACTCGCCGATGCTGTGGGCAGCACAAGAATAAACATCAGGGACCGGAGGAGGCATCTCTGAAATGTGTGTGCTGCGGGGGTGGGGCAGTGATCCCCTCGATGAAGCCTCCTTTCCGGGCTCTTTGGGGAGCGCATCTGTTTGCGGGATGGCGTGTGTTTGAAACCCTTGCCTTGCTCTGGTGCCTTAAAGGAAGTCTCTGCATCTTCTCCACCGTTTTTCACCTGCTGAAAGCTTTACGGAGTAGATTTGAATGGGTGGTAGTTAGCCTTGAAAGCGGAGGTATAAACAAAACCACATAAATTTGTCGGTGTGGGTCCTTAGGGGCACCCCACAGAGGTGTAAAAGGGTAGATCATGAGATGTCGTGGGGTGCGTTAGAGGAAGGGGCCCTGGACTAGCTGGTACCCACGGGCCCAGTCTGCGTCTACTTTGCCGTGCAACCTGGTCCGTCCACTCCTCCCGGTTCCACACTGGAGCTGCGGGGTGAGAGCAGATACCAGCAGGGCCTCCGCTGGCCCGAGTGCTGTCACGGCCTGTGCCTTGTCTCCAGCTGGGAAGGCCCAGTAGGTTCCGTGCCTAGAGGCTGTTGCTGCAGGACACTTAAATGGGGCTGTCAGGGTGTGCTTCCATTACCTCGCGTCCCCGTGTCCTCTGTCCCGTGCTTGGACGCTCGGCGCTGGCCATCCGTCGGGAGAAGAGAGATGGAGAAACTCCCTTCTCAGGGGACCGTCCGTTCCCTTGAGTGACACGGAGACAGAGAGCGTGAAAACCCCCTCTGCCCAACAGCAAGAATGTGCCATGCGTTTCTGCAGAGAGAGAAACTGCCCCTGGTTTTTATGGAAATACTGAGCACTTAAAGACGCCTCAGACAATGAGACGCATTCAGAGTTTCTAAAATGACTGTTTGTATGGCGAATGTAACTTTTTTTAAACAATAAAATCGTTTTGCCAAGATCGGCGCTTTCATTCTCTCTCTGGGAGAGGGAGTGTGGCGGGCTGGGGCTGCGGAGGACGGCGTCATCGTGCTGTGTGTTCTCGGGGGAGGGGACGGTAGAGCGAGTCCCAGGAAGGCGACCTCGTCACGTACCCACTGCGGGTACGGCTCGTCTGGGCGAACCGGCTGCATGCCATCCCGTGAGGGTCCACGGGCCTCCTGGGAGAGACAGCGGCAGGCACGATGACCCACCTCATAGATCCCCAACAGCCTGAGAACAGGTGTCCCCCAGACTTCCTGGCAGCCCCGGGCATGGAGGAGGATGTGGCCGGAAGGGCGTGCCCTGCGGCGTCTGAGAGGGAGATACCTTGGGGAGTGTCCGACAGCAGCGGTGCCAGGGGCCGCGGTCAGTCGTCCTATGGCCTGTGCGGGGCCGTCAAGCAGAATCGCAGAGCCACTGGGGGTCCAGGAGCCAGAGCACCATGCATATGCAGTAGAGGTGGGATCCCCAGGGACCAAGAGGCACAGGTGACAGACACACAGCCAGGCCCGTGGGCACTGTGGAGGCTGCGGTCCCCGTCCTCGATTGTGCCTCGGCCTGGGAAGCACACAGAAGCATCCCTCATAAGAGAGGTAGCCTGGGGCTGGGGCGAATCGGTGTTGGCTTATCTGTGGCAATGGCCAATGGCCGTGCTGTCCTCGTAGAAACGTAGCGGGGGGGCCCACCGTCTCCCAAGACCGGACACTGTGAGGACCAGCTGATGACCGTACAGGCTGCGGCAGAGGGTCACTGGTACCTGTTCCTCCTTTGGGGAGCCTCCCTGTACTTTTTGTGTGTGAGGAGGTGTCCTGGTCAGTTAGGACATCCAGTACCCACAGCTGCAGTGATTGGTTTGGGGGGCCTGTGGCCCAAGTCGGTCAGAGCGAAGTGAATCCAAGGCTATGGGCTGAAGAGACTCCATTTCTCTGGTCTCCAACCCGAGGGCCTGTCAACCGGGAGCCACCAGCAGCCATTTCAGCGCCACCGGGGGCCTGAAACGAGGCCACATGCAGAGAACAAAGCCCAAGGAGGCGCGGGCTGGAGCCTGGGGCCATCGCCAGGCCCAGGTTCTGCCTGCCGACCGCTCACGTCCAGGCGCTGGAACTGGTTAAAACTGAGCTGCGATTCGCGATGGCGCGCTCAGGGGGTGTTGGAGCTAGGGGCGGGGTTCCGTGTTTCCGAAGCCCCGCAGAAGCCCCGCACTGACTGCGTCAGAAGGGCGGATGTCTCGGCTGGGGCCAGGGTGTCACGAGTCTCGTGTGGTGACACCAGCGTCGGTCCGGCACCGCACAGCTCCGGCTGCGTCCTTATTGCTTCATCTGCCCCATTTTCCTGATTGATCAGTTTCGCAAAGCGGGGACAGATACAAAGGGAGGAGGGGAGTCCTTGGCGGGCCAGCTTGGGGACTGCCGGCCTGAATGTCTTCTCCGGTGTCTGCCACCAGGTCTGCAGAGGGAGGGCTCACCTTCCCCAGCTGCCAGCAGAAGGGGACAGGAGGGGACAGGGTGGCTGCGTGCCGCTGGATGCCCTCCGTTCTCCCCGACGCCCCTCGCCTGCACGGCCGGGGACCGAGACGCAGAGACGCCTCGTGCCTTACTCAGGTTTGCGTTTCTGGGACTGAGCTCAGGGCCCTGCAGAAAACGCGTGAGAGAATGAGGGGCAATGCCGACGGCGAGGCACGCGCCGTCCGCCGCGGGGAACGTCTGGCGACATCGGCCGCAGGTCGCCTGGACGCCTGCCGTGCCCCCTCCTGAAGGAGGCTCTGAGCAGGGCCATCAACTTGGCAATGCAGGGGGGCCACCCCAGCAGGGACCGGAGTGGGGGTGGAGTGGGGGTGAGTCCCAAAGAGCGGCTCTGGAGGGTCTGCTAGCTGCATCCGAGGTGGCCGCACAGGGCCCCAGTCTCAGTCCGTGGGCGAGGAGGAGACAATGGCAGCCTGGAGGGCGAGGCTTCCGCAGGTGCGGTCAGCTGAGCTTCTCCGAGCCGGGGCGGATGGGACAGGCTGGACGGCTGGAGGACCAGGCGGCTGTGGAGACTGGCGTCCGTCATCGTCTCTGGAGGAGACGGCATGTCCTGCGTGCGCAGCGGGCCAGGCAGGCAGCAGGGACTGGCCCAGCCACGTCAGGGGCCAGCACTCTGGTCACTAGAGGGACGGGGTGGGGGCCTGACAGAGGAAGGCAAAAACTGACCCCCACGCCCGGCTACTCTCCCACTCGCTGTGGGTGGAGAGCAAGGCCAGGTCAGTGCCGCCTGCAGGACGCTAGCAGGCGTGGGCAGCCGGAGGGCAGGGCCGTGAGACCCTCTCTGCCTCGCCTGCCGCTCTGCCATTTACACAGCCCCTTCCTCTTTCCCGTCCCAAGCCCCAGCTTGCGGAAACTGTCATCATGTTTTTCATCTGAAGAAGCATCATTAGAAATAAAAATCATAAAGCTCATGCTACCAGTTAGGCCCTCCCTGCTGCACCATAAGCTCTTAAAAATTATTTTATTGAGGTATAATTGACACACATTGTTTTCAGGGATACAACATAATGATTAGATATTGGCATACACGATGAGACGGTCACCACAATAGGTCTATATAGTTACCATCCGTCACCTTGCAGAGTTATGAATGAGCATATCTAAGATTTACTCTTAGCAACTAACAAATATGTGACACAGAATGACTAACTAGTCACCCGTATATTAATAATGCTGTATATCACATCCCTGTGACTGACTTGTTTTATAACCGGAACTTTGTACCTTTTAACCCTCCATCCGGTCCCCTCCGGCGACCACCGATCTGTTCTCTGCATCTGTGAGCTTGGTTTTTGTGGTTTAGTGATCCACGTGTAAGTCGGATCATACAGTCTAACTTCCTCCACGTAGCACAATGCCCTCGAGGTCCAGCGCGTTGTCGCCAACGGCAGGGTTTTCTTTTTAATGGCTGAACAGCCTTCTATCGGAGATAGGCACACACGAGTGCTCCCCCTTATCTGCGGTTTTGCTTCCCGTGGTTTCGGTTATGCGTGGCCAACCTTGGTCTGAAAATATTAAATGGAAAATTCCAGAAATACACGACTCATACGTTTTACATGGCGTGCCGTTCGGAGGAACGTGATGACATCCCCCGCTGGCCTGCTCCCTCCCTCCTGGGGCGCGAGTCATCCCTTCGTCCACGCTGTGCCGTGTCCACACTGTGGACACTACTGTCCCCTCGATCACAGCGCTTGTGTTCAAGTCGCCCTTATTTTGCTTAATAACCAAAGCTCAAGGTAGCGATGGTGGCAGTCGGATACGCCAAAGAGAAGCCGTAGGATGCTTCTGTGAGGTGAAACGCCGTGTACAGTACGTATGGAAGAAACATAGTATACACATGTTTCGGTGCTGTCCGTGTTTCAGGCATCCACTGGAGGTCTTCGGATGAGGGAGGAGTTCTAGATCATCTCTTCTTTATCCATTCATCTGTCGAGGGAGACCTAGGTTGCTTCTGTATCTTGGCTGTTGGTAAGTAATGCTGCATCGAATGTGGGGGTGCATATGTCTTTTTGAATTAGTATTTTCATTTTCTTCGGATAAATACCCAGACGTGGAGTGGCTGGATCGTATGATAGTTCTATTTTTAATTTTTTTGAGGAAACTCCACACTGTTTTCCATAGTGGCTGCACCAATTCACATGCCCACCAACAGTGCACGAATGTTCCCTTTTCCCCACATCCTCAGCCACACTTGTGACTTCTCGTCTTGGTAATAACTATCCTAATAGATGTGAGGTGATATCTCGCCGTGGTTTTAATTTGTGTTTTCCTGGTAATTAGTGACGTTGAGCATCTTTTCATGTGCCCGTTGGCCATCTTTATGTCTTCTTTGGAAAAATGTCTATTCAGATCCTCTGCCCATTGTTTAACTGGATTCTTTTTTCTATTAAGTTGCATGAGTTCCATATATATTTTGGACATTAACCCCTCGTCAGATATATGATTTGCAAACATTGTATCCCATTCAGTAGATGGTCGCCTTTTCATGTTGTCGCTGGTTTCCTCTGTTGTGCAGAAGCTTCTTAAATTGATACAGTCCCACTTGTTTGCTTTTGTTGCCTTTGCTTTTGGTGTCAGGTCCAAGAAACCATTGCCAAAATCAACGTCATGAACCTGTTTTCCCCCAGGAGTTTTTACGGTTACAAGTCTCCATTCTGAGTTCGTTTCAGGGTGTGGGATAGTAGACCAGTTTTCTTCTTTTGCGTGTGGCTGTTCAGTTTTCCCAGCATCATTTACTGAAGAGATCGTCCTATCTCCATTGTATAGTCTGGCCTCTGTTGTCATAAATTAATTGACCATACATGTGCGGGTTTGCTTCTCGGCCCCCTATTTTGTTCCATTGATCTATGTGCCTGTTTTTATGCCAATATCATACCAAACTGATTGCTGTAGCTTCGTAATACAGTTTGAAATCAGGGACCGTGATGCCTCCAGCTTGTTATTCTTTCTCAAGAATGCTTTGGCTATTCAGGACTGCTTTTATTTTTTTTAGCTGAAAAAAAGAAAAACATGGAAAACCACAAAGACAAAAATACTAATCCGTGCCGATTACCTCCACTCAGCATTAATCGCTTTAAGATCTTTTAATATTGTTTTTGTTTAAGAAAAAAAATGTTTTGTAAAAATAATGCATACTTGTTATAAGTGAAGTCAAAAAAAGTACCAAAAAGCACACAAATTAGATGAACATCTTTCAAGACATAGATACAAATAGAAGAGAGAAAAATATTTTTTAAAAATGGATCCTTCTCTTGAAGGTAATTTTAATTTTCATAGTACATTAATAATTTTATTTGAACCTGAGGGAATCGCTGAACTTTAAATAACGATTTGTCACACAGTAAATAATATTTCCCCAAAAGATCTCTTTGATGTTAGAAATCTATATGGACACCTGGAAACTGGATTCCTTAGTGGTTTTTTTTTTTTAACACGATTTTTATGAAAACCACGTGGG